TCTGCTTTCGGTCGCTGGGGTTGAAATAAATTGGAATTCGATATAATATCTGGAAAAACACGGAGAAATGTCTAAATTAGACTTACCTTTTGTCTCAAGTGCTGAAGAAATAAATAAAGACACCAAATCCACTTTGTTGCTGCGTAGAATTATTTATTAAATTCACTTTCAAAAAAGAAACGTCAAACTTAAAGCGAATTTGCGGAATTTTTTTTATTTGCGCTCAACCTTCTTCTGCGTGAGTGTAAAAATCCACCCACTCATGAATATTAATGACGGGGGGGGGGGGGGTGCGGCATGTGGAGTGACGTCACGCGCGTTACACACACACAGACATTTTTGGCCCATTATAGTAGTAATGTCAATTATTATTCATATGCTGTTTTTTCTGACTTTATGTGAGCGAAAAGACACAAATTCGCCCTTTTTCTCATTGAAAATATATACATTTCAAAATATCAATGTCCTGCTCACGAAAGCAAAGTTTGTGGGGAATAATATCAATTTTCTGTACTTTTGAGGCATAAGAAATTAGAAAATAAAACTTAATACCTAGGAACAAAACAAATGTGTTACACAGTGTAATAATAATGGATGAATAGTGGCGTGGTGGTTAGTATAGCGTGCTATGAAACTGGCGATCTTAAATCAATTAATGGCCACCACTAACATAAATGGTGAGTTATATCTGAACTGGTGATACCCCCCAAACCCTCCGGCACCAACTCACACTAAATAGCATAGCAAAGTGTGGTCAACCAACCACCATGACCAAAGCAGTGCGGGAAGGCCTTTATCCAGCAGTGGGAAGTCACTATTATTATTATTATCAAGTATCACTTAATATCGCTTAGAGAACACACACCATGTTTGTGGCCACGCGATCATTGGGTTATGAGGTCACAGTGTCACCAATTTTTTTGTCGGGTTTCAGGGAAGTGTGGTAGATGATAATACGCGTGGGACGCCTTTGCCCTGTGAATGTTTCACGCGTTCGTATTGTTGCTGCGACTGCTGCTGCTGGCACTGCCGCTGCTAACCGTGGCCCTGCCTTAGCACCCCGGGCGTGAACCAGGCAGGGTCAGCAGTGACACTTGATGAAGCATGAGGGGTGAAAATAAACACGGCGCGGCGATCGGGTTTCTGCAGAGAAGATCTGGCAGTACAATGCATTTGTTGATTTGAAAAGAACAATAAATTATAATTGCGCACGCGTGACACATGTCTACACTTTCTAGCTGGTTTTCGTGGGGTGCTGTTAAATGCTCGATCACGGGACATTCATCAACAGTCATGATCAATCCACTGCTGGATGAAGACCTCCAAGCCATCACCATCTCTCACAGCACTGCAATCAGTGCGATGTAGCAATGCACATAGCACCTCATACGAGTCGATTTATTCCTTATGATCAATTGTGTTGTCTCAAAAAGTTAAGATTATTTTTCTCAACAAAGTATTGTACCTTCCAGGTGCCAATTGAAGTGAGAAGGAATGGATAAATTAAACCAATTTTAAAAGGAAAGACTGACTGAGACTCATGACTATTTTTCTGGACAATTTTGCATTGGAATGTGTGGCCAAATACGACTTAAATAGTGATATGCAAAACACACACCTCATAATTAATGAGTTTATCGTGGCTAAGTAATCTCATAAATTACGAAATAAATTTAAAACATACTATACTGTGTGTATAGAGGTGTTCAAGCAGTTTTGAAGAACGGTCATTACCTGAAACACTTCATGTAGTATGAGTTTTAATGATCAAGGTGGTTTCAAAATACCAAAAACAATCAACGTAAATTTAATTTAAATCAGCCCTGATAACCCACTGACAATGCTTTTTTTGTGAGCTAACATCTTTTAAATATTTCTATTGCAACACAGTTGCAGTGATTTAATCATTACACGTTTGAATTCATTCGTGCAATTGCCTTTCAAGCACGTTCGTCTGTGTCATATTGTTTATGCGGCATTATAACGTGGTGAAGACGACGAAATTCATGGTCCATCGCATTCAGCCATCATGATCTGTCCACTGCTGGATGAGACCTCCCCAAGTCGTCACCGTCTCTCTGTCACGCAACACAGCAATCCACCTCGCTCTAGCACGTGGAGCTGATTTAATCGCTCCATCTCCGCGGTGGACATCCTCTCGGGTAGGTTGACTCATTTAGTTGACACCCAATTGATATATTCAAACTCCCGCACCTCCGATTAGCAATGTTGGCTATGTACGGTGCGAAAGAAGGTCAACATACGTAATCACATATTCTAAGCTCTTTCGGTAAAGTGACGTTGAAGGAAAACAATAAAATAATAAAATATATACACCAAGCTCTTAAGGCTAATGGTTACTCCGACTATACAATCCGCAAAGCTATCACTCAAACCATGAAGGACCCTCTTGAGGAGCCTTTCAAAACCATCACTTTACCCTACATTGCGGGGATCACAAAAAAAAGATCTCCAAAATCTTGAATAAACACAAGATCCATTACATAAAATCCGTGATCTGGTTCCGTCTGTAAAATATGTGATTCCGGACATACAGTACCCTGGTGTCTACAAACTAAGTTGCCTCTGTGGTAGTAGTTACATTGGAGAAACCAAACGCCATGTCTCGGACCGCATTCGTGAACACAAAGCAGACCTTAAACACGGTAGGACCAACACCTCGGCCGTGGCAGATCATTGTTACAATTCAGTAGGCTCACATGACATTGACTTTTCCAAGACAGAGGTTCTTTGTAAGCCATCTGGCTACCATGAGAAATTCGTTCATGAAGCTATCCACATATACAAGCACAGAAACAATTTCAACCGAGAAGATGGATTCTGGCTTAGCAATCATTGGAAAGATTTGATGAACCATTTCAGGTGTTAATTGATTGTTCACGCTTACAGTGGCTTTCAGACAGCATACATTAATTTTTCGTCTCCCCCCTCCTCTTTTCAGAACATAGATGGACTAGCGACACACCTGATGACGACCGTTTGTATTATGGTCGAAACGTCGTGAGAATGTTTTAATTTTGTATTGTTTTATATATATTTATTATTTTATTGTTTTCCTTCAACGTGACTTTACCGAAAGAGCTAAGAATATGAATTACTGCAGTCACGAAAGCTTTAAATCAAAATACGTAATCACTTCCAGTCATTTGTCCTGTCCAAGACCACGTTACAATATGTGTTTGCACAATGATGCACGTGTTCCTCTTGATGTCAGTGTCATCCCCATGCATGATGTAACACTTCACCATGATGGTCGGTGCGGGTTGGGAGCATAGCAGTACAACATAGCAATGGGTTTTGCTTGACAAAGGTCAAACCAGGTTACAGTGTTTGCTCTGTTTAAACAAATGCTGCGTGACAATATTTGTCTGGAAAGGATGTTGTTCCAATATGCATATTTGTACGTGTTGATACGTAACACATTTATTCTTATATGTGTTATTACACAATCAACATTTTCCAAAAAATCTGGTGGATACTGCGTTGGCAGTGGTGCCGCACATTGGTTGCGCTATGGAGAAGGGCCTGCAAAGCCGCCTCATATTTTGTTGTTCCTTTCAAGGCAGTGTTGTTGACGAAGTGCTCAGTTCCCCCCCCACCCCCATACAATTAATGATTCATTTTCCAACACAATAATCCAATATGTCCCTTGCCATGTGCTTGCCTGCGTGTTGTTGTTGTTAGGGGCCGTCCATAAATTACGTCACGCGATTTTGGTCGATTTTTGACCCCCCCCTTCCCCCCCTCGTCACACGGCGTCACAAAAAGTCAAACCCCTCTCAAATGACGTCACAAAGCGCTGCCTCCCCCCCCAACGATATTTCCATTTTGAAAATAAACATGCTTCAAATCGCTTTAAACTATTGTCATTGTAGTGCGTATTTAATGTAGCGCTGCACTGTGATGTTGTAGGAGAATACATTTATTAAAAAGGAGGCGTTGGAAACCTGAAATTTTGCATAAAATTAACTTGAAAATATTCAATGTCAAACTAAAACTGCAGATGTTCAGAATATTATATTGAAATTCTCTTATAATTATAAAATATTAGAAGTAATTATAACTATTAAAAAAATACTTGAAACTTTGTAGAACGAAGTAAAATGGTGCGTACAATTATAACAATCACATATTCATTCCCCAGAATGAAAAGCCCTGGTGGAATCATTACAATCAAAATGTTTAATAATCATAAAAAAAAATTCTAAATGTATGCTTCTCCATTCTCCCATGGAGAAGCAAAATGCTCCTTCATGGACTAAATAAAAGGTGACCTTAGTAATACATTTAAATGATCAAATAGTTAATCATGATAATTAATCTAAATTAGTGTTGTTATAACAATTATATTGTTTCTATTTATTTTGTTGCGCATTTGTATGTGACGTCACATTTCTAAATCCCCCCTGCCCCCTCTCGTCACACATCGTCACAAATGTCTGACCCCCTCCCCCCCCCATAGGTGTATGACGTCATTTATGGCGACCCCCTATTGGGAGCGGTGGTGTAGCGGTAAGCGCGCCGCGCTACAAACCTGCCGACGCGGGTTCGATTCCCGCTCACGGCCAACGCCGGTGTCGAATATTTAAACCGGTCCCGAGCCTCCCCCTAGGTCGACTCAGCCTCAAATGAGTACCTGGTGGCGTTGTGTAAACATAACCGCTGGGGAGACAAAGGCGGTCGGGCGTGGTTGCTGGCCACCCACCCCCTTCGTGTGCCGTGCCGGCCTTCATAGGTGCTGCTCCTCGCTAACAGCACTTGCCCCTACAGTCTGTTAAGGCGACACGGGGGATCTTTGCCTTTGTTGTTTTTTTATGAAAACGCCGAGTCGCGGGGTGGGCGTGCCTCTCTTCGAGTAAACACGCGGGGCGGGGGGGGTGGAAGTGGGGCTGCCCCGCGTCCGGCCAATTGGAGCGCTTCTCCCCGACCCGCCGACCAATCGGCGCGCGGCTACGGATCTCTTTAAGGCCAACCCGCGCTCGGTTGGAATTCAGAGAAGAGTGGAGAGGCGTCGCTGTTCATTTGTCTCGCCGGTGGCTTTGTGGCGCTTTAAACAATCCAACACTTGCCGTTCTCACGTCGCGCATACCGTCAAATCTAACACCATGTTCCCGCTAGACTCTAGCTGGAACCTGTCGTTCGCCGGCTGCGGCTTCCTGGGGATCTACCACATGGGTGTGGCGAGCTGCCTCACCGAGAACGCGCCAGCCTTGATCAGCGACGCCACCGCCGTCTACGGCTCCTCGGCTGGGGCGCTCGCCGCGGCCTCCATCGTGTGCGGCGTCTGCCTGGGTAAGGAAGGTGGCCTTCCTCCAACACAGCAGGCTCCTCTGCGAATGCTGTCGCACCGCTCGCCGGTCTCGCTCTAACCCCTTCGTCTCGTAAGCTTCCCTTCGCCATCCCACTGTACACCGCCGGTCCTCCCCGAGGATAATTTTTCGCCACGCTGGGTCACTTGAGTGTCATCGGTCTCGGAATTTGTCGGTGACCGGGCCACGCGTTGTTGGCTCCCGTGGGTCGACTGGCGAATTGATTTTTAGAAGACAATGATGGTCTCCTGCCTAGATTTCTCCCGGTGTTTATCTGCCTGCTTAGTTGGAAGGGTTGTCAGCTCTCCTGTCTCCAGATTACACAGTCCCCCCCCCCTATTCCAAACTCTTCCCGGACTTGAGACTCGGCCCTAAAAGAGGCTGTTTCTCGTGTAGACCTGTCAGTTTCAAAGACAATGCATCATATATTATCAGAACATGTGTTGTTTGCATGTTCAGCACAAGTACGTGTGGTTAATGCAGACTTGATTCCTTTGCAAAAAGGTTTCTATTTGGTGTTTGAACATTTCAGCACCTGTTTTATCACCAGAACGGGTAAAATCTATATATTTTGTCATACTTAACTGGTATCCTTTGCATATATGTGGATCTCCCTCTCCCCCACCACGGTGTCTCCAGTCTCTTGAGCTCCCCACAACATTCCCGTTACCTCCAGGCTCTATGATAGCCTTTTTTGTATTTGAAATGACAGTATAATTAAAAGCCCCAACTAATTCGTGAATACCGCAACCCTAAAATAATGCATGCGTCGGCGACGTTTCGTGCCGTTCCCAGAGACGTCTATTGTTATGATGATGATGTTTCGTTTCCTTGTTCAAAGTTCGTGTCGGTGACTTATATTTTTTTTGTAAACAAAATGGTTGCGTTTCATTTTGTATTTCTTAATACGGATAAGTTGGCGCGCTCTTTTCGGTGCGCACAAATTGGTTGGCGTCGCTGCACGTGATGCGCGTGGACCAATCGTATGGAGCGACGAGTGACGTCTCTTGTGCGTTGTATGGTTTTCGAATGGAGGATTCGCTAATTTTAACCCTGGATTCTAACGTTTTTAACACGTGGCTGGCAATAAATAGAAAGCTCGCGTCCTCATGCATTCCCCGGATTATAAGACGTAGCCGGGAAGTAAGACGCAGCCCGAACGTGTCCCCGATGTCAGTAAAGGTCCACACAACCCCCCGGCTTATAAGGCGAATCCTAACTTTTTGTTTTGAAATATGGGGTAAAATGGGTCCTATAATGTGGAGAGTACCGGTAACACATATACTTGTACATCGCCATTCGTCAATCCGCTACTGGATGAGGGTCTCCCCACGCCCCGTGGAATTGCGAGGGTTATTTTAGTACAGAAATGTAAGGTAATACGCCATTCATGTCAACCGTAGATAGAAAATAAAAGATAACTAAGGCGGAACGGACATATCTCTCTGCAAGTTTCCATTCATCTTTATCTGGGCGGAATGTGGTGGAGCAATAGTTGGCTCATTGCGTTCTGAACATGGTGACCCCTAAATCGGTTCCTGGCCATGGTTAAATCAGTGGCGATTGATATATTTGAAATGTTCCTGGGACCCCTCCATTTCACAAACTCGCATTGAGAAGTGCCTTTATGCAGCAGTACATTGCATAATTGTTTAACATTTTGTTAATTGTTCCTTTATCTCGGAGCCTAATTCACAAGACTCCCTTTACGGAGGGCTTAGGAGGTTTAATTAACCTATTCTTTGGATCTTTCGGTAAAGTCACGTAGATAGGTTCAAAGAAAATAGCAAAAAAACTAGGACGTTTCGATCACAACACAAACGATCGTCATCTCAACGTCGTAGTTTTTTGCTATTTTCTTTTAACCAATCTGACTTTACTGAAAGACCCAAAGAATATCAATTCCTGCAGTCACAAAAGCTTTAAGTCAAGATTTAATTAACCTATTTTTGCCCTTCACATATATGGCAGCTTTGAAGTGCTAAAGCTGGAAAATAGGGCATTAATAGTCCTGTCCAATTATTGAATTAAAGCCAAAGCCTGCAACTTATGACATTACCGAGAATTGTGAGATTTTGAAATCCGTTATGTTTGAGTCTACTTGATGGTTCATTCAAAGCCTACTGCAAAGGCCGTTGTTGGTTTTGGTTGAGTTTATCAATTATTGTGAAATGCCTCTTCCGTGACTTAGCGATTTTGTTCAGCCCTTGTCATTGTTAGTCTTTAATGCGTAAGCATTGGTAAATTTGTTTTACCATTAAAGGACATTATGATCTGAATGTATAAGCTAGTATTTGCGCGATAGTATAGTAAAATTATGAACATGGAGCATGCCTAATTGTCCCACTAAATATCGTATGAAAAGGACTGTACAGTACTATACAAATCAATTTGGATTTGTATAGCGTTCACTGCATCTTAAAGACTAATTGGCTGCACAATTTCCACTTGGAATGAGAAAACCCATTAAGCAAATATCACTTTAACAACTGCACCTAGGCTTTGTCCTGATGTCCAACACGAGTTCGAAGCTTCGTTAATGAGAAAATAAACGTTTAACGTTGCCATGTTATAATGGCAGCACAGTGACATTACTATGCCAAGAAATGATCAAAACCTACCGCAGTTATCTCGCGGCGGTATCACTTGAGTGTCATATTATAGTTGCCTGTCAATACATTTAAAATATTCTTTCTGGATGATGATTGAACGTTGGACAGCCCAAAACACAATACCTAGGAATGTATCCTGATGAGACCCAGAAGGCTGAAACCGGTGCATGGTTAATTGCTTAAAAAACAACTACAGCAGAATGTATGTTGATTTGTAGGCCCAATAAACCAATGGACTACACATTTTAGTTTGTGTGGAGACACTGAATGGAGTTGTGCTTGAATACAACATAAGGTGTTTTATTTTGGTTGCGTCATTAACCTCAAGTCTAAGCTTTGCTCCTGTTCTTCAGGAACAGGACAACAGTGGTCAGTAGCTTATCTCATACTGATTGCAGCTGATACCCCCCCCCCCCCTCTTCAATCTTGGGCAGCTAAGTGCACAGGTAAAGCCAGGTTATGGTTCGGTGGGTGGGTGGTGGAGGGGTTAGTTTGCAATGTCCATAGTTCAACTGATAACGTTTATACCTTGGCCTCTACCATAATATGTTGGTGTGTAACCTAACACGCATATATTGATAATGTCACTGAGGTTTTGAGGCTATTGTGACTTTGTGAGGACACTGATGTAATTCGGTAAATGTTTAACTTTCCACGAAGCACAAAAAAACAGGAAGCCCCCTTGTTGTGAGTTCTCTCGCAAAATGGAGTTGCCCTGTATAAATACATTCAACTTCAACACACAGGCCCTCTAAATAAACAATAATTACCAACATCCATGGTTATTCTACTGCTGGATGAAGAGCTCTCCAAGCTGCCGCCATCTCAAGTAGCCATGCACGAAAAGCTGTGCGATATTTCAAGGGACGAACATGTTAAGATTGTTAATATTAACCTAGTGAATAACACAACACGGGAAATGTTAGAGTGCCAACAATAACACAGGCTGGCCAACTTGGCATGCGTATTGTTTCAAATGGGTTATCAAGTCCTATGAGAGCACGCAGTCGAGTGGCGTGGCAGAGCTGCCTAGAAAGCAGATATTTTCTTTGGCTTTGGGAACACTATATTTATTGCACGTCGTGTGCCTTCCTGTGACCCCCTTTTACCACTCCTCTCCTGGGCCATCTCCAACATGTATTCCACAGTTCATCATGTCCTGGTAAATTACTGTGAATCATTTTTTTCTCATAGCCCCTCAGTCTCTGCTGTGGTTCTTTCCTGTTGCACCGTCTTTTCTTTCAATTGTCACTATTTAAATGACTATAAATTAGTCCATACAGCATGTAAAATTAAGGGACTGTTAAATTTGATGTACACACGTTCAAAAAGCAACTCCATATTAGTCATTAACACCGCCTTGTAATTTAATATAAATCGTAGCCTAACATGTCAGAATATTTACTCTGAAGAATGATCATTGCCCAAAATGTTAGTGAACTATAGATTTTTCTTCTGTTATAAGTCCGTGTTAACCGTGAAATGTAGGGAGTGTTCTTATTGCTTATTTACACAGCAGATGCTTTTTTCTCAGGCCAAATGCACCCAAGCTGAAAGTACGCTGTTATATCGCTCTTATATTTATCATCGTTGATGGAGAGAAGATTGTTTTCAGTGCCGCATGTAGCACCAATGTTCTCTCCATCAGTGCCGCAGGGTGGGTCTGTTTTTCTTAAAAGAGTAGCCAATGGAAACGATGGGAGTTACATAAGCACCCGGGGTCAGTGGCGAGGTCATGGTTACGTGAGGACATTGCACTTGTTGACACACTAAGTCAGACCGGCTCGCATGCTTAGGGGGGGCCCAAGCCAGGGCTAACATTCCCTGCAGCTTTGTACAGCGTGGCCTTTATAGAGTTTTTTTCTAGGCCAAAGGTAAGTCACCTTACCATTAAAGTCAACGTGTGCAGTACATAAACAAGTCTATGGTCAAAACACTGCTGGATGAAGGCTCCCCAATGCCGTAGGCATCACAAGAGTTATTTGGCTATTTTTCATCACTCTAATCATCACTCTAGGTGATGGCGTGGAGCATAGATTTACAGCACAACAATGGTTTTGCTGCACTGCCGTTTATTACCAACCATGTAATTATGCAGCCCTATGACAATCTGTTTGTGCATGGTGGTTACCCATTCAAGCATTAGCCAGGCTGGACTCCCGCCCTTGCTTCTGACATCTGATAGGCTGCATTTTGGATGGTATGTTATCATAGGCTGAAGTTTATAATTGGAAAAATATATGCATTTACCATTACAATAAAACATGATGTCACAATTAATATTGAAACAATTTTGCGAATACTATGGTAAAAATTGCTTTGTCAGTTCTCTGGCGTTTGAGAAAATAAGGTTCAAATGTTGTGCAAGAAAAAAAGGGGGAACTTAATGAAAGAACATGATTTTATCACTCAGAGAACAAAAATGTTGACCGCATTCAGAGGATTTGGCGTATAACCACACACATGGCCACACAAAGCCCTGTGAAAAGTTTGAAATCTAGGAAGGTTGAAGATCATGCTGACTGATTTTTTTTGGCTTGACTGCGCATCGTCACAGCAGCTGGTTAAGCGGGTGGCGGGTAAGGGTGACCGTAACAAAGACTTGAAGGTACATTTCTTGAAAACAACTGGCAATGTCAAGGATTATATCTCCAAACAATAGTTATGCGACTGGGTAAAGGAGTGAAAAACACACTCAGCCTTTCCGTTTCTGACCTGCCTCTCCATTTAGGACCATGGGGCACTGCTTCTTTTCTCTTTATGCAGTTCTAGGTTTTTTTCACGTCTTGCTTCCCCCCCATATTTGACTTTGGACAAAGAAGGTGATGTTAGTGAGGCCTTGTTCACAACACCTGATTGCAGTGTATTGCACTATTGACTTTCTCACTCGGCACTTTTCAAGCAACATCTGGTGGTTGGCTTGTATTTTTGTGTCAATGTTTTTGCTGCAGATTTAATACAACTCTTTGATTTGCTGTTTCTTTTATTACGAAAATATCTGCGCAAGTTCAAACCATTGCACAACACAATTAGTTTTTAAATCTTAAGTCGAATCTCAATATTCCATTGCTGTATAATCTGCCAGGATGTGTTGGTTTTTTCTGTAGTTTTATGTTTGTACAAAGGTTGTACCCCTCGGCCATTCTGCATTCACAGCTAATGCAGAAACCGCTTTTGGCATGACACGTTGGGAATGTGCCGAGAGAATACCGGCTTAAACTACGTTGAGTCGCCATTTGAGGACGTGTTGCCATTTTAATGAGGCAATGGTCTATTCTTCAGCTTTGCGTTATCCAGTTTTAATGAGAGCTGAAAATAAGGACCTTTTGTTTTTATTGTATTACTGTTGGACCATTGGCCCGTCAGTAAACCTGGCATGAATTAGAGTTTTATGGTAAAAAAAAAATATCCGTGACAATAAGAATTTTATGCTTTGTCCCCAGCACACCGTTGGAAAAAACTTCTCTTGACAGTGTTGTACGTTGATATATACTTGCATAATAAAAACTCTTCACTACGCCTGAATTCGTAATGTATGCTGTCGCTCGTCATATGGCCCGTTATGTCATATTGTCGCAGTAAAACAATAAACGAGCATGGTAATGATAACTTTGAGCACATTAAACCTGTTGCAGCTTGTTTTGTAATATGACCATTTAATATTCAATACTTAACTTGTGTGTCTAACTCTGCTATAGCACGATGAAGTTGCGATGTAGCAGCTATGGTTTGGTGTTGGCTGCTCCCAGCTTAACTTTTACCCTAGTGGTTGGCATTGTCATCTCGCAGTCACGTGCCCAAAGACGGGTTCCATGGAACATATTCCCTATGTGCTAAACCTGCCGCTGGCAACGTGGATGGTAAAGTATTTAATTTATTAATGTCATCTCTAAAGAGCTCTTAGTGGTCATGCACATAATTGGCTGTCTCTCACTTATCATCCATAAACCACGAACTATAACAATGTTTTGATTTAAAGCTTTCGTGACTGCAGTAATTCATATTCTTAGTTTTTTCGGTAAAGTCACGTTGAAGGGAAACAACAAAATAATAATATATATAAAACAATAAAAAATTCTCACGACGTTTCGACCATAACACAAACGGTCGTCTTCAGGTGTTATGGTCGAAACGTCGTGAGAATTTTTTATTGTTTTATGTATATTTTATTATTTTGTTGTTTCTCTTCAACGTGACTTTACCGAAAAAACTGAGAATATAACAATGTTGTTATTTTACCATGTAAGTCCCATTGAGCTATGCAGCTTTTTCAGAAACGACCTGGCTTTAAATGATAGCTCAACGAAGTGGCTTATCATGTGGAAATTTATAGCAGCCAAATACGCTAAACATGTTTCCAAATGTTGTTGGGTGAAAAACCCGACGACCCGGAGAAAAATACACGCGGCCACGGGAATAACATGCAAACTTCAAATATACAGGCGTCGAGATTGAACCAACAACCACCCTGTATACCAGGCGAGGTAGTTATCTCACTACTGCTGAGCCCTATCCTCAGGCATTGCAGAACTCGCAATTTAGCCAATAGATCAACTAACCTTATTGCTGTCTAAAGGTTCTCGGGCTTGCCATTATGCTGTTGTTGTGTACGTGTGTTTCCTTGTTAGGCTGCGCAGCGTGTGGACAAGTATTGTATATGATATGAAACATCAGATGTAAAAGTTACTGCGGTAATAATTACATGCGAACCGTGATTTCTAGACAGCACAAGGCAGAAATGTGACCTTAGTATCATTATCACTAAGCAGCAGACAATAGTTCTCCTTCATGTATCTGTCTCTCCGCTTAGAGCAACAAAAAGTGTGATTTGCACGTCAATCTCAAGGCTTTCTGGGAGTGCGTACTTAGCAGAATTGGTGAAAAAAAACAACCAATCTGGACTGGGTTCGGCATTCGGTGTCTCATTAGCCGAGTCAGGCTTGCTTGAACCAAATGCTGGTAAACTGCCAGATGTTATATGCAAGGGCTTTCATTTTAAGATGTTGATCCTAGTTTGTTTGCAAATGTACAGTGATGTCAACTAATAACAAGTATTTTAGTGGAGAATATAAGCAAAAAACTAAATAAGCAGACACTATCTGTCCTTTCGCGTACATTCAGTCCTCCCGTCATGTCTTGCATGGCTGTAATGCACGCATCCTTATTCGCAAGAGTCCAAATTGTCGCCACGTAGTGTTTTTTACTTTATTAGACTTGAGAATCTGGTTTGGGTGGGTGGTTGCCCATAATAAAATTCAGGATTTCACTGGAATTTGTTGAGTCCTCTGGCCACATTGATTAATTCTTAACATTATGCACATGCACCTGTGTGGGAGAAGGGTCAACTATGTGTTTTACTTCAATGGTTTTGTATTAGATTTGCGCTTGATTATTTGTTTATTGCTTTCCAAAGATGATTGAAAGCGTTTATGAATTAGCTCTATCCATCTTTTTCGTTTGTAACAGGGAGCACAACGCTCTTAGAAATTATTCAATACGACTCAAAATCTAGCATTTCTTTTTAGGGACTTAGCCTTTTGAAAACTGACCAAATAAATCAAACGATTGCCAAATACTTTGGAGGAACAATCCAGAGCAAACAATGACTCCAGTATGAAAACACTTTTTACCAGACAGCTGATCGTCTGCTTATGTACTCCAAAGGAAATACTTTCGAAGAGGAGCGAATATTAGAACGTGTGGCATAATCAATGCGTGTGATTTTTCGTAACTTTGTTTTCCCTTGCCTGCGCTTCCTCTTCCTCCTTACACTACGGCGCGTCCTGCAGGCAAGTGCTGCGCCGACTACATCGAGATCGCCAAGGAGGCGCGCAAGCAGCGACTGGGCCCGCTGCACCCGTCCTTCAATTTGGTTAAGAGCTTGCGCCAGTCACTGGTGCGCAACCTCCCAGAGGATGCCCACATTCGCGCCACGGGGCGACTGTGCGTGTCGCTGACACGCGTCTCCGACGGGGAGAACGTCCTCGTGTCGCAGTTCCACTCCAAGGACGATGTCATACAGGTAAAGTAACAATAGTCCGTTTAAGCCCTTTGTAGATTCACTGCTGATAATGGCTTTTCTCTCGCCATTTCGGTCACGATAGTTGTTTGATCATGCTTAATTATGCTGGTGTGTGTTGGTGACATTGGTTAATCAGTGTCAACCAACAAGGCTTCAGGTGAGATATTTCGCATGAACGGCTGTATGTGTTTGTCCATTGCTCCGAGGTGTTTCCCTTAACTGTTATCATTGTTGTTTATGCATTTAACGATTCACTTCCCTTGCGATTTGATTAATTGTATCAACTTGATTCAAGAATCGATTGCAGAGCACACGCGAGCAAATTACATTCGACATGCAACATGTCTGATTCAAAAATGATTTGAACACTCAAAGTAGGGGGTGTGAATTTTTTGCAAGAATTCATTTTAGTCCATGAATCAATGCATCGTTAAAAGCCCAATTGATTTATTCAGGTATGTGTTTGCATCTTGAAAATAATCTCAAATGGGGGTACTTTATTACTGACCACTTATGACAATGCCATAATTAATGGTTTGGATACTGACCGATGTTGTGGATATTGTGACTCATCCATGTGGCTGTTTTGTTCGATATTATGTCTGTTCAAATTGACTTATTTAGTTGTTTACGTCTGTGGCCACACTTTTCTGGCTTCGGAGCAGTGGGGTCATCAGATTTCTTCAATTTGCTGAATGTAATTAAGTGGTTTTTAATTTCAGTTTTCTGCGGCCGTCATACGACGCGACCCTAGGAATGGGTGTCGAATGAGCCCCATCCACCAACGTGTCATCTGGAATTCCAAAAGATTTTCATCCACCACATAAACACCCTACCCCTAATCAATAGCATAAACAAATGTGTGAATAGATTGTGTTTTACATTTAGTGTTCAACTTGTTTCATGAGCTAACCCTAATTTGATTTTACCAACCCTTGCTTTGGGCATCTCTAATGGAGTTTGTTGGTTTTGTCGTGTTTTTGCAGGCTCTCATCTGCAGCGCGTTTGTGCCCGTCTACTGTGGTTTAATCCCCCCGACTTTCCAAGGCGTGGTAAGTTTAGAAATTAGGCAGACATAGATTCTTCAGGAAAGTGCTGTTTGGGAGCACCTATTAAGACCAACACTGCGCATGAGAGAATGGTGTGGCTATTGCCATGCCTGGCTGGCTTTGTCTCTCCAATACTGATGTTTACACACCGTACTAGTTACTTGTTTGAGGCTGAATTGTCCAGGACAGGTTCAGACACCCTTAGTCACTGTTGATAGCGATGGCCAGGAATTGAATTTGGGTCACGGGGTGTTTGTAGCACCATATGTTGACCACATACAAACATAAAGATCCCCTGTATAGCTTTTAACAGGATATTTAGGGAAAGTACAGTTTGCGAGGACTTTGCACGGACAAAGATCTCCCTCATAGCCTTAACAGACTGTTGGGGCAAGTGCTGTTAGCGAGCACCTTTGAAAGCTGACACAGAACACGAGGGTGTGGGTGGATAATATCACGCCCAACCGCCTTTTTCCCCCGCAGTGGGAATATTTACAAATTGCACCAGTGACACATTGGAGGCTGAGTCGACCTAGGGGAGGCCCAGGACCGGTTCAAATTATCATCACTGGTGTTGACCATGAGCGGGAATTGAACTCAGATCGCCGAGTTTTTTAGCGCAGCTCGCTAGGCCGCTAAGCTACCGCTCCTACACAGACAGACGTACACCTATGCACACACACTTTTAAATATCTAACATTCCTGTCTCAATAAACTTTTATATATACACAGCACCTCTGGTGCTTCTATATTTACACAGCACCTTTTCATCCCACATAGGTGGGATGAAAAGGGTGATTTAAGCCCAGTATGCCTCTTGGTGATCATTTACACAATAAAGACCTGCACCTCATGGCCCCGGCTATAAAAAAAAAAGCCATGGGCTTTTTATAATTTGTGAGTGAGGCACAGAACCTATGAACCTTTATTGCCATTGTGCCACACGCCATGCTCGTCTATCAGGTTTAATAGTGTCTTTTATTGTTGGCTCCTTATGATGAGCTTGCAGAATTGCGTGATGCAGGTGGAAGAACTGGGTGAGGAGGGGGGTTTGTCTTTCTGTCTTGGGGTGGCGACCCACCGTGTGCACCCATGTGCAGCTCATGTGAACTGAAGGCTCGGGCGTTGGGCTGCCACTGCAAATCAACGTCGGTTGCTGTTCCCTATTTTGTAGTGGGGTTCAGTTGGGCGGAAATTAGCGCGTTCTTACTTCACAATTGTGTTAATTGCCCCCTAGCTGGCCGCCCAAAATGCACACAGCAGCCAGTATGTAGTAATATTTGTTCATTATTGAGGCTGTCCCACGCCATTAAAGTACAGGATGTGATTAAGTCTGTTGTTCGTCGGCAAATGTAGGCTAATTGGTTTAAATGAGAGCTCATAATTATAGTAATTGTGAAATGAAGCCAAAGTTAGTTTCACCACCACCACGTCATTATCAGCATCGGCCATGATCAATACACTGCTGGATGAAGGCTTTCCCATAGCAGCCACCATCTGTCACGGTTCTGCAATGTTAACGATCTGCCTAGCACCTGCACATGAGTTGACGTTGGTGGCCGTCCTCTTGGACACCTCCATTCTACGGCTGACACTCCGTCACTATTGTTGGGCCCCTACCATTGAAATGCCAAATGCGATTGACGGTGAGGCCATATTCGTGTTTACCACTAAATTCCGTGAATTAAAACATTGTTAAACACATTAACGTGCGTGGGGCGGCTCTGAATAAGAAACAAGTCGGACGTTTCAACTACAGCTCTGAAATCCTTGTTCGTCTGAACATTCCTGATAGTCTTAGGAGGGCACTAATTAAAATATATCGCCTGCTTAAACCCTTAGCGAGTATGAGCTAGAGCATTTCCACAACACCATGTAACCACTCATGAATGTTTAAGCGCTCCCTGAACGTTACAAAATTCAACGAAGCAAACAAACCGAAATTAATGCCATGGGCATTATGCGTTTGGTTGGGGAAAAAAATAATATGGGGAAATGTAGAGAATTAGAAGCGGATGCTCGGGATTCCGTTTGAGTAGTTTGGCTTCGGGTTAATGTGACCTAGGCCCCAGAGAGGACTCAGCGTGCAGTTAGGGGTTGTTTTTTTGAAGCTCTCTTGAGTGTGGGGTGTGGTCAGAGTCCAGAGGTCACGCATAACAGCTGCCTTCGACCTATTCGTCCCCCCTGCTCACTCGACCCACCCACTGTGGTTTATAATAACAAAGGCTGTTGGCCCTGAGTGCACTAATTAGCTTTGTGGCTGCCCACCTGCCAGGCGCCATGGGACACAGTTGGGGTGGCAGAGATAGTCTCAGCAGTCTCCAGAAAGGAACGCCTTTAAAAGTTTTTGCTCAGTTTTATGCAGTTGTTGGTAAAAAAATATATACAAACCTTGTTCAATGGTACTTGACGAGGCGTAATACGCGTCTGGTACTTATCAATGTGCACCCCTTTTGTTAAAGCCACTGGTGGATGAGGGCCTTTCCATGCCATGCAGGATGTGGGCATTTTATGACCATACTTCACTTTGCTGGTCAGAGGGGGTTTGTGAATGGCAGCAAAGAGTACAATAAAACGATGGAGTTTGCTGCACTGCCCTATGCGGCCCACAGTGTAACCCCCACAGCAGTCTAACGACCAAGCTCTGTTTCATAGATCTGGCAGAATAGTGCATATTGAGTCATTTTAACACTTTTTACAAGACATAATTAAACAAGTCTGTAATCCGAATTTCATCTTTTATGAAGGCAGCAAGTCAGATTGTATCGAAACAGGGTGTGGTGTTAGTGTATAGGTAATTCCATGTACACATAAACAGGGCAATAATGAAGGGAGGGAGGGAGTGATGGGTGGTGTGGGTGGGAGTCTCTTGCTCTCAGCCCCCAGCAACTAGACAAAATCAGCAGTTGCTGGGCAGAAGTAAAGTTGCTCTCATTGGCTGACAGCTCCTCCAATTCAACATATACATACACCACCTTCGTTGTGCTCGTATCATTGACAGCCTGAGCTCGGCCCTCATCGGATTATTGCTTTTCTGTGGGCAGGTTGTTGCCTCCATTAACGAGATGTGCAAATCGAACAATAAATTAAAAAAAGGCTTGTACTCATTCGATACACATCCATTTATCACATGGTTGGCTACGTACGGTGCCAAAGAAGATGAACATACATTATCTAAAAACATTGAAAATACCTCAATAATTGTTAACGTTCCAAAAATATTCCTCCCAAAAACGGAACTATTTGATGGTCTGCGTAAAATACAACGCGGTAAGTTTTTTTTTGCAAAGCGGTCCTGATTTAATTACTGGACAATCCGTTAAATCGACATGCAGGACATCGCTTCCCCCACAGGGCATGTGATCCTGTTTTGTACATTCTTGGTGAAACGGCACTCCTCGGGTTACCCGTGTCGCTTGTTTGCGCGGTTTTAGGCTTTAATACAAAAAAGGAGCAATTATTTATTATTGTCTATCGCTGCCCTCTGCCCATTATTTAGCAATTCCAGAATGTTCCTGTAATTTTAGACCGCTATTATGCTCTGTAATATTCATATTTTCACTTCCACATGACACATTTTTGGGCAGCTGTATCAACACATGAAAATACCTCGCCACAATTATTATTAACACTCCCTCGTAATAGAACACCATATAAGTAGAGTAATATATTTCGTAGTGGCCTCTACTCTGCAGCAAAGCAATATTAGTGTGCTACATTATTATGTAAAATTTATGAAGGTTTTTCCACTGTGGACCTCATGCTTACTTTCAATCGTATTATGAAAATAAAATGAATATCAAATGCCATTATGCCTAGCTTTTGTAGACTTTGAAAAGTCAACACTGTTGTCTATTTTATTTGTTGACGCGGGTAATAAACATTCGGAGTAAACTGTGACCTTGGTGGGAAAAAAACAAAGTTAGTGTATAAATCTTAACGTTGTAGACACTGGGTGTTTAGGTATGTATGTTGAACGTCTGTCACACCGTATGTAGCCAAACGTGCTCACCGTGGTGGCGTTCACATTCGAGCAAAAACAACAAGTCAAACGATCATTGGGCGCGACCATTGCCAGTACAGTTTTGCAAATACTGTCCAGTCGAACTGTAATTTGTCAATACGAGGTCCACGTGGACGTTTCTGATCGATCACTCGCATGTGTGCCTGTTACGCCGCAGCGTTACGTGGACGGCGGCATCTCGGATAACCTTCCGACTTACGAGCTCAAGAACACCATAACCGTGTCGCCTTTCTCTGGCGAGAGCGACATCTGTCCACGTGACCCCTCGTCCAGCTTTCATGAGCTGCGCGTCACCAACACCAGCATCCAGTTCAACCTGGGAAACCTGTACCGCCTGTCGCGAGCACTCTTCCCACCCGAGCCTAAGGTGTGGGCCCGCAGAGCACACCGCCCCTGTGTCACTGCCGTCGTCATCGTTGTTAACGCCATTGCTGTCCTGATAATGTGTTTTTAACGCCTTTCAATTAAATCCAAAAGCGTTTTATGTATTAGCGCTGTTCGTCAGTCCGCTCGTAAAGCAGGGGATCCCTCTAGCTCTTGACAAAGTTTAGTATAAATTAATGTTGCCATTAGGGACTTACCTGATTGACAGTAGGCCACATTGATCAAAGGGTTTGCCCAAAACCTAGAGACAAACCAGAGCAAAATTTACTATGTGTCATATATGTAAATATTTTTTTCCCTGACGGCTACCTATTGGCTTCCACCCTGCGAATTGAATACTTATGAAGATAAACGCATGTTGGGGGAAGCATTACAGAATCCATGTGCACCCGTGGATATTCCTAAATTGTTTCGGTTACTATTTGCAACTGCATCTTAAAACGATTTTCCCCCCGGGTATCGGACAACACCGCTAACTGTGTTGTCATTTAAAACAACCTTTTAAAAGCAGTTAATCTCGTAATGTAGTTCTGGATAGTGTCTCTTCAAGTTCGAACATGGGTTTCAGCACGCATTGACCTGTTCTTTCATATGATGTCAGAGTCCATGGTGTTCCTTGATAATGCTGTGCAGTGTAGCCTGAGTAATGTGCGTCATGGTGTTAGCACATGTTAAAGGAATTTAGATTCGAACCGTGTCCCATAGAGCCTTACCTATGTTGCTGATGTGTTCTTATCTTGCAGATCCTCATAGAAATGTGCAAGGAGGGCTACAGAGATGCACTAAAGTTCCTGAAAGAAAATCGTGAGTAACATTTGCAATATCTTTTGGATGCGTGACATTCGCTAAGGCCCCATGAAGCCAATGACTATAGCTGAATACTTAAGTGCATAAGTTGGCATGGTGTTTTTAATTACTTTGATTTTTGCAGACACTTTGGATTTCTAACCGTTCTTTATAGGTGGTTGATTGTAATAATTGAAAGACACATTTTACGTGAGGCCCACTGTTAAGTGAATTCCTTTTACTGATCAACAAATCCTGAGTTGTTAATTTTTTTGTTCTGGTTGATTGCTGAAACAACAAAGGACATTTAACTTAACCTAGCTTGGACTGCTTAAGTTATCAGGGTGCAAAAGACAATAATTATAAATTGTGTACATGTTCACTGAAACAGCAATTTGATGCTCTAATAATCATGATGCATGTATGTTGAACTTCTTTCGCACCGTACGAAGCTAACCTTGCTCATCGGAGGTGCAGATGATTACTGTTACAATCGTAAATAACATTCATTCGGAGGTTAATACTGTCTTCCCGTCTCCTCCAGATCTGCTGATGAAAGCCCCTTATCCCTCTGCTGGCCTTGGAGAGGGCAGCGAGGTCGACGGTCTCCAGGAAGAATATGACGATGAGGACGACGAAGATGACGAAGATGACGAGGACGACGAGGAAGACGAGGACGACGAGGAGGAGGACGTAGAGGTGAAGGTGAACCCGGCGGAGGAGCGGCGCCGTATGGCAGTGGAGCGCTACGCGCAGTCGTGCCGCGTGCTGGAGGACCGCATCTGGGAGAGTCTGCCGCCCAAGATCCACAAGGGTGAGCGCCAGCGTCTCAAATTCCAGGACAATGACGAGGATGTCGGCCTAAAACAGTGTTCTTTATTGCAAGGCCCGCAGGCCATTGGCGGCCCCTGATGGCCTTTGGTGCAGCCCCTGACGTGCGGCCCCCGACAATACATAAATGGGAAAATACTCCATCGTGCTGTCAAACCTAGTGGTTGCAAATGTGTGGTGGCACTAACACTGATATCTTATTGGCGAAAGTGTGGCCCACCTCTGAAAATTTGTGGAGAACACTGGCCTAAAATATAATCTCCCTGTTTCAAAATATCCCGGTAACGTTGATCTGTGTTGAGCCGCATCAGAACATTGCTTGCCAGGTGCGGCTTTCTCCTATACCGGTAGGAAATGAAGAATCTCCTCCAGGGTGACTTCCATCACAAGCTTAAAGCGTAGACCACATAGTCCACCATTGCCTGGTTCGTTCATTGTTATAGTGGACATCCGTGTTTCCATATGACAACCACTATTGATCTCGCACGTAGTGGTCTGAATAAATTATTACACGTCATGCCATCTTTCCACCCAACCGGAGAGCTTGATTGTGGAACATAATACGTCGTGATGATCATGATGAATGGTGAAAAGGCTCTTATGCTCGCCATATATGGTGCCTTGTACGAAGTAGAATCCACTGGAGGATTGAGATGTTCATGACGGTTGCTTGTCTGGTCTGTGCAGCCCTGCTGGAAGCCTGTGCGGAGAAGGGCGGGCTTCTCGCCTCGCTGTCCAACCTGCTCCCTGTGCGCCTCGCCTCCCTCATGATGATGCCCTACATCCTGCCACTCGAGTCCGCCATCTCTTTCGCTGTCAGGTGAACCTCTCGGCACCCAAACAAAGACAGTTGTCCCTCATGTAGCCTTATAGACTGGTGGGGTAAGTGCTGTTTCTGAACACCTAATAAAGGCCGGCATACCACAAGAGGTGGAGGGGGTTGGTTGGGCGGGGGGGGGGACAAAACCACACATCCCCCCCCCAGTGCCGATGTTTACACACCAAACCAGGTACTCACTTAAGGTCCATTTAGGGGGATACCCAGGACCAGTTCCGATGTTCATCACTGTAGGCGGTGAGTGGGAATTGAACTCTGGTGGCCAGGATCAAAGTGAACCACTACACTGCCGCAGCAGGTGTGAGCGTGCACACGCGCACACACGCGCACGCACACACGCGCATACACAAGAACACAGAGATTCTCTTTGTAGCCTGTTCGGCTAAGTGCTGTTAATAATTACTGGCTCTGTCAATCCATTAACCCCAATGACCATGTGGGGTCGTGGAGGTTATTTGATCATACTTCACTGTGCTGGTCAGCGCAGGTGTTGGTCCCAACACACAAGTTTCCTGTGCCTGCCCGCCACAGCTCAGAGATGATTCTCAAATCTGGGTATTGCATTGCCTGCGTATGTGGTAAATCAATTAAATATTTATGGTACTGTACGTCGTCTCCCGTATTACCCTCTGCAGACAATACCCTCTCACCTCCATGTCTTTGGAAATGAGATACTCTGAGAAATTAGAAACTTTTGCCTGCTTTGTGAAATGAAAGCTTTTTCAATGGGTTAAAATACAATGCTTGGGAGTTGCAAACGTATTGTGCTGCAAGGGGACTTGTGTTTTTACCCTACAGCGCTTTCATCAGCCCAGCTGATAATTTTCAGTACTGTTGGATGAGAAAAATCTCTTCGTCAATTTAGAAGTTGGGGTTTTGAAAGATAGATTTGAAGCTTTCGTGACTGCAAGGATCCATACTCTTTGGTGCTATTCGGTAAAGTCACGTAGGTAAAAAAGAAAATAACAAAAATCACGACGTTTTGGCCACAACACAAGTGGCCTTCATCAGGTGAAGGGACCGTGCTGTCATGAGGACAGCGTTGGAGTGAAAACAGCCAAGCCCAGGTCGCGTCCTTTTAATCTGTGTGGGAGGAAGCAAAACGCTTTGACAAAGGAATTAGCATAAAAATGAGCATGGCGCGGGTGGGGGACCATGACGGACCAGCAGCGGTTCGTCATGGTCCCCACCCGCTCCTGGTCCATCATGGTCCATGTACCTCCTATGTACATCATGCTCATTTTTATGCTAATTCCTTTGTCAAAGCGTTTTGCTTCCTCACACACAGCTTAAAGGACGCGACCTGGGCTTGGCTGTTTTCACTCCAACGCTGTCCTCATGACAGCACGGTCCCTTCACCTGATGAAGGCCACTTGTGTTGTGGCCGAAACGTCGTGATTTTTGTTATTTTCCTTTTTACCTACGTGATTTTACCAAATAGAACCAAAGAGTATAGTTTTGAAAGTCAATTGGTGTTGGCGCACGTGAGACGTAAATTTGTGCTGATGTGAGTACCGCGCTTGAGGAATTGGCAGCGAGTTGAAGCCGGGGTAAGGAATGGTGGCGGCATCGGGTGTATGTATGTTGAACTTCTTTCGCACCATACGTAGCCAACCGTGCTAATCACTTAATGGTGAGGGCAGCTTCTGCGACCACCTCCTGCTGAGCTGGGATGAATGACCGCTGAACGTCTGCTTCCTCCCCCCCCCCCCCCACGCAGGCTGCTGGAGTGGCTTCCGGATGTGCCCGAGGACTTCCGCTGGATGCGAGAACAGACACAGCGCTTGGCGCAGTACCTCCTCTCCCGTGCCTCCAACCACTTCAGCAATCACATCTCTGCCAGGTAAGGAAAGGGATCCGCTTGCTTTTTATGGCTTTGCTAACCTCCGGCGGGTAAACCCCCTGATGAGCCTCCCAGCCACCAGGGAACTTTTGACGTTGCTACCGTATTTAATGTATCGTGTAGAGGTGTATTTAATGCGATACTGTACAGTGATACTTATCGTGTTGCCGCATTGGCAACTGCTTGTAATTTGAGAAGTTAATTGAAGTTGGCGATGGCTGGGTGGCTCTGGAGGCTAATTGCTGTGCAATTCCTCAAAATCTGAAGAATCCTCTGACATGCTCATGGAAAAAAATAACCACTCCCTCCTCGATAGAGCAAAAGAGCGCAGCATGGGAGATGACAAGACGGACGTGAGACATTTGTCAGTTGTAGGCTCGTGTAATTGTTGGGTCGTCCCCTCGAGGTGACGTTGAAGATTGGCTGCTATCTGGATTTCCAGAATGGAAAATAGTTTTGCTCATTGTCTAGACTTCAATAATAGCACAATTCAATTGTAATTGAAGCGAACTTGAGAAGCAAATGGCGAACGAAAAACCTCTCTGGTCACAGCGGAGCTGTGCAGCTGTGGTTTTGCTGATGAGAGTACGGCTCCCTATGGTGCAGCTGATGGACAAAACATTTGTTGTTGTTATTTTTCCGACCCCCCCCCCCCCCCCTTTTCCCCACCCCCTTCAGAAACGTTGCAGTAGCTGCTCAGGGCTGCCGCGTTCAAAAAGATGTCTTAGACTAACAGAACGCTCGGCGGTGCTGCACAGTGCAGCAGCAGTGGTGGGAGATGCCCCCACACCTGTATGGGTAATGATTCCAGAGAGCTACATTTTCTGTCCTTTGTTTTTATGTTTTCTATGTATGGATCACAGCGGTCACGTGACCCAGTTTCCAAAACTCCTCAAAATGAGACGTAGTGATAGTTGATTTTGGAGCGAGTGGTTGAAATCTTGACTTGTGGATTGTCTCAAATCATTCTTTCCTGTGTTTGTCCCTTCTGCTGTGTTTTTTTTCTCATAGGCATGTAACGATCCATCATTTAGTTGGTTTAAAATCGGTTCTGATGCTGACCATACATATGCGTTCATATATACATTTGAGAACTTGTTATTTGGGATTTATGAAAATTATATGCATTTATTATGTTACAAACTACGTTTACGTGAATGGAGCAGGCAAACCTGTGCAATTGAATGAAAATACCCCCCAGAAATTATACAAAAGAAAAAAAGTATCAACTTGATTCAAATTACGACTCAGAATCATGACAAACCATCGAATTGCTGGGTCCTGAATCGTTACATGCCTATTATTCAAGGATACCTCTTGCTCAAAGGTGGTGCCGTCATCTCTGCATTCAACTGTGACCTATCTTGTGTTCTACAGTGCTCGTTTATGAAAGAGGGGGTGGAGAATTTATATCATGCATTCCGCCCGATGATAATATAACTATATTCTTAGTTTTTTCGGTAAAGTCACGTTGAAGAGAAACAACAAAATAATATAACTGTTCACATTTTCAGGCTCGATTCATGATTGGTGTACAAGATATACCCCCGCGTGATCATTTTTTTTATAATCCGATGCTTTGTTGAGCCCTACACGTCACTGGCGCAATGCATAATTGATGTTCTCAGCCTTCAGTCTTTACCTTTATTCTGCAGTGCACACCTGTTTGCCCTCTCTTCCTATTAAATGAAGACTCAACCCAAAAAAATAAATAGCCCTTGTAGATGTTATTATTTTGAAATGTCAAATTAATATAAAATGAATTATCTGACTGCGTGGTTAACTATTTTAAGTCCCGGTTTGTAGACATGTTTGAGTCTCAGGTGGAGCCAGTAATGCATTGGGTTAGTGCGCACTGTACCTTGAACCTGGCCATTTGAGTTTGATGCGCAGCCATAGTTAACCTTGTAATATCCGAACCATTCCTAGGTCCCCCATTCAGCAACCTGCACTACCCAGTGTGGTGAAGTAAGGTCAACCAACTCCATTGACCGAAAGGTGTCTAGAGGCTTTTGTCAAGCAGTAGATTGACAAAGGGCTGCAAGTTATTTTTTCATATTGTGGTTACTATGCCTGTGTCTAGATTTGAAGCTTTCGTGACTGCAAGGAATTCATACTCTTAGGTTTTTTCGGTAAAGTCACGTAGGTAAAATGAAATTTAAAATAAAAGAAAACAACTAAATTAAATCACGATGTTTCGGAGGCAACACAAGCTTCCATCTTCAGGTGGAACAGTCACAGCAAGATAGCTGCATCAAGATATCTTGCCTGTGACTTCCACCTGAAGACGGAAGCTTGTGTTGCCTCCGAAACGTCGTGATTTAATTTAGTTCTTTTCTTTTACTTTAATTTTTATTTTACCTACGTGACTTTACTGAAAAAACCAAAGTGTGCTTTTTTCCTTTGTACCACACGAGTTTCAAGTTTCCTTAATGAGAAATACTACTTTGAAGTGACCTTTAAGGCAAATGACCAGAACGCTTTACTGATGTCACTATATTGATGTATTAATGTATGACAATGGTTTTACTTGGCTGTTATAATCCCCATCTGTCCATAACTTAAAAGTATTTTTTCATTAACTAAGCTTTAAACTCTCTCTAAACAGCGCAGCAATTATGGTCTAGGTACATATTTACAAAATAAGAGCTATTTGTTTTATGGGTTGTGTATTCAAAAATAATAGTTTAACAAGAATATGAGCCAAAGGAAGACATGAGGAGTGGAGTTTTCGGAGAAAAATCGATGTAAATCAGACTTCTTCGGTATGTGATTACATGTATCTTTTGTTTTTTGGGGCCGTCGTTATTGGCCAGCTCTAACAGCGCCTCCCGTGTGTCCTCGCCACCAGATTCAGCTGTTACGTGGAGCTGCGCAAATGCTTCACCCTGCCCGACTCCTTCTACCACGACATGCCGCTCTTCGAGTCTGAGATCTATCCACCGGAGATGACATCCGGTGGGGATGGCTCCAGCTTTAACGGCGGCGGCGGTGGCCACCGCATGTCTCTGCGCCGGCTCTCCACGGAGCCGTCCTTCAATCACTGGTACGAGGAGAGCGCCAATTTCGGTTTCAGCATGAATATCCACGCCGGGATCTTCCGCCAGGATAGCGTCGCCAGCGGTTGCGGGAGCTGCTGCTGTGGCGGCGAAAGTAGGCGCGGCAGCTCTGCCAACTTGGTGACCGTGACGCGCTCGGCCTCGGCAGCATCGCTGCTCACCTTGACGACGGCGGCTGAACTACGCTCGGAGCGGCTGGCCGGCAAGCAGCCGGGCCGCTTGGCGGGAAGTCGCCACGGCAAGTGGCTCCGTCGCCGCCGGTCCCTGGACGAGTCTGCGAGCGTGGGGGCGCTGGCGTTCCTGACTGAGCAAGAGGAGGACCCCGGATTGGCCACCGCACGTGGCCAGTTTTACCTGGAAGGGGCGGTGGAGAGTGACATAGATGGATTTTCCGAGGACGAGATCGACTACGGTGCAATTAACTTCTAGAAAATGTCTGGGACCAAGTTGGAGAGGAGTCGTCGATTAAAGCAAATGCTCAGAAATAGGTGTCGGGCTTTAACACGAGCGCGTTAGCACGTTAAGTGATAACGCGTTACTGTAAACTGACGTGGTGATTAGAATGTTGGACTTAAAGTTTTGGGGTGGGGATTTTTTTTTTATGTTTTACGGACGATGGTTGGCGAGTTTGTGTCTCGTCGGCTGTGCGGAGGATAATGTGCGATGTTGGATTTTTTTCAAAAATAAGATATGGGGCAGAGCCACGAGTCGAGTAAATGAGTATTTCCTCATAAGCATCACCTGATGTGCATTGACAAAGTACGTGTCTGCACTTAACAAAGTTTATGCTGTATAAGCGAAGTGTATTCACAATTGTTAAAATTTCAATGTGGAAAAAACTATTTAGTTTTAAGAAAAGCTACCTATTTTCTTATTAGTTCATCTTTATTGGCTGTGATTTTATGGTTTGGAAGACACTGACTGGTGGGCAAACAATTATACATCATACACATTGTCCTTTTAAGTTTACCCTTAATATAACTGGGCTGTAGACTATGGTCATGGTGCACTACTGGGTGAGTGCAGATTACGAGCATGAATAACCCATGCAGCCATGTGCTTGTCCCTCGACCGTATAGTCGAGGTACAATAACTTTTTTTGTTGAATTACTCGGTAACTTGTATCCAACCTGATGTTTATACAACCTAGATATTTTAATTTAAAATATGATATCACTCTGTTAATGCGTATTAAGTGCTGTAGTTGTCGTAGTTTTGCCCTTGCGGATTGCTTCCAGTGTTTTGTGTTTTTGTCATGCCTAACAATGCAAGTCAATGGGGAGAACGTTTATGACATGTTTATCAATGCAAATACACGTGATGGCACTCGTGTGCTTTGGGCACAGCTGTGCAGTGCATACTCAAGTTTGTATAATAATTCGACTAATTACCATGCTGCAAATTATGTATGGAATTCCCAGACAAGCGTTTACACACAATGTATTATGCCAAAGGGGTGTTTTGCGTGTGTGGCATGCAAAGGTATGCACGTGATAATCACATTTGGTGGCTTTTTTCTGCGCACAATTTATGACATTTTAAAACGAGGACCGTCTCGTGTGGTGTTTGGACATGTTTGGTTGGTTAGCAGCCCCTTTGAGTTTTCAGAGTAAACAGTCGGCTCTGCTATGGGAAGGACTCGAGGTTATAGCGCAAGTTTTAATGGCAACCTTGCAAGGTGTTTTCACGTAAAAGTCAAAGCTTTGTGTTTGGAAGTTGAATTGAACGTGTTGTAAAATTAAGTAAATTTTCATCATTATAAGGGAGGGTAAATCACTGAAGATGTACACTGCCAAGCATGCACTCAATTTGTCAATTACAAGTGTCAAACAGATCTTGACAAGTAATTTTCACCAGGGATGCATTGGTTGATCTCCAGTGGTCTAAGCTGTGGGACAGCAAAGTAGTTCTGTGAGCCATGTTAGATAATCGGTGCTATTTAGAGGGTGAATGTTATTGCCCTGACTTAGGGGCAATTGTATCTCTTCCTCTTTATGGCATTTACCAGACTTTGAGCAATGACAGCATGGTACATGAATATAGCATAGGTTTGAGGATCACATGCGTTGGTGGCGGGTGGGGGGGAGGAACTTTGTGCGCATGCGGTTTTAAATCGCGGCTCAATGGAGCGCACGACTGTGGGATGTTGCGAACGTAGCGTAATCTTGTAATGGTGCATGAGCGCATGCAATGTGGTCAGATGTAGTTTTCTCGAATGGATCATTGGGACAAAAAAGATTGGAATTGTACCATAAAGTCGACTTATAAATGGAAACATTTTCATAATTCTGCTGCTAAACTCTATAACCAAAGAAATGTAATGTATGTGCAGTTGTATTTTTGATGGCCATTTCGCTATTACAATATTTCTTTGGATTAGAAGATCAGGCCACCACTGCTTTGCTGCTGTGCCAATGTACCAACTCAGAATAATGCACAATAAAATATATCTTAAGAGTTTAAGTTGATCACTACCACAGCTAGCATGGGGCAATGGAACATGTGGGTCAAATATAGTGCAGTCCAAAGTTCCGTATCTCAGTAATTTAACTATCTGCAGAAACATTACACTGGCCTCGGAAACTCAACAAAAAAATCCGAAAACTGTTCATGTTATACATTGATTTGAAATGTAGAAAACTTGACCTTTACCGTATCTCAGTGTAATGTTTAACCGTTTAACATTGCGACGTGTTTCAAATGAGAATGAATTCATTTGCTCATGCGTATGTTGTGGTTGAAGCGTGGCTTATAATTTAAGACCAATCTGCTACAAATGTTCGATGGCATTCAGTTGTTCCACTGTAGAAAATGTGTTTATATATGAGATTGTGCCACACTTATGTACCATGCAAACAATTTAAGTAGTGCATAAAAAGTAAAGTTACGTCTTTTCCCCACTGGAAAACATTATTTAATCAAGGTTAAAATATAATATTCTTTGGCTCTTTCGGTAAAGCCACTTATATAGAAAAATTATAAAAAAATATATCACGTTTCGATCGCAACACAAGCAATCGTCTTCAGGTGAAGACGATTGCTTGTGGCTTTATCGAAAGACACATAGAATGTATTCCTGCAGTCACGAAAGCTTTAAGTCGAGATTTAAAATATAATTTTAATTAGATTACTATGACCTTTTTATTAAAGGCATACGATATGATATATCGCGTAATAAGGGCATTGTGTGGAATTTAATAAGCTTCCCACGAAGCAAACCAGTTAAGTGTCACTTTGGAGTTGAATGTTTAATTTCTCATTTGATTGCTGCCCAACAATTGCTCAACTTTCAGTTAATTCCCTGGGGTGGTGGGGTTGAGCTGACTGCACGTGTCACTGCCAGGCGTATGCCTCTCGTTTTCAATGTTGCTCTATTCACACGCGTTTAAAGACGTTCCTGTTAAGTTTAACCTATTTTCACGTTCATTTCAATAAGTTACCTCCTTGGTTTCGATTTCACTTTAACGTATGAACACGTAAATGCGTGCACTATAATATTAAATGTCATTAATAAATACGTATAACACACGACGTTTGTGGATTTTATTGTTTGGTACTCTGCTGGTTTATTTTGGTGGATTGAATGGGTGTTATGATGAACGTCTCGATAAGGTAATGAATCGGAATGTTTTACTTTAGGAATCGGAAGAGCTATGAAGCTCTTTTTCACAGATGGCCAGTAGGGGCGGGTAAGAACTTTATAACAAACAATACAAAGTGAAACGCAATGCAAATGAAAATCAGTTCCATTTACATCGTCTACAATGTAATGGAAATTCACATAAAATATCGTGATTGACGAATGAATGTGAACCGTATAGGTGTAACATTTTAATTCACAATGATTCATGGTTAAAAAAAATTCAGTCCACGGCTTGATGTGCCACCCGTGCATTGTTGGTGATCTGGGGTCCGTCCCCCCCCCCCCATACTGAAACGCTGACCAGTTCGGGTTGAAGGGGTAAGTCCATGACCAACTTGTATACGGTGCATCACTCAACTGATGTCATCTGCGGTCAGGAATCGAACTCCAGGAACCTTTATTATGAATCGGTGTTGGGTATGAACCAACTGCGCCACTGGTGGACACCAACTTCACAAAGGACCTTTAGATTCCGTAGAAACATTTCTACATCGCCTCCGGTTTTCACGGTTGGCGACGTACGCTACGAAATAAATTCTACATACTGTACATTAGTCGTGCTTCCGGCATATGAAGCTGTCCTTCAATAGCACGAGTACTGTAATATCACCGCTGCTTAAGTTGCTGAGGCTGACAAAAATAATCACATGTTCTGTCCATAGGTCCAGAACCGAGTGAAATGCCCGAAACAAGTGATGTACAACTTTGGTTCCTTCGGTAAAGTCACGTATAAAGAAAATCAATTAAATAATAGCATACGACGTTTCGATTGCAACACAAGCAATCATCAGGTACAAATGAAAGAGAAACCTAAACTTAGAAATATAATGCAATACACCAGTCGGCTAACATGACAGTCAACACCCTACCTGGTTGATTACGCTCTTCCAAAGATTGCACAATTTGAGAGACAATGGACACGGAGACACATGGACAGACATAAGCAGAGAGAGATAGGCACACAGAAACAACGCCTGTGTCGAGGCCTTAAATAGAGGGTGGGGGGGGGGTAGAGAAATTAGCATGTCAATGAGAGATTTGGAGCTTTCGTCACTGCAGGAAATAATAGAGCAACGACATGAGGACAGAGCGAGAAAACACACTTAATCAAACACTTAGAAAAAATGGAAATGTAATGCAATGCAGCACAGTCGGTCAACACACAACGCATAGCCTGGTTGATTACGTTCTTCCAAAGATTGCTAAATTAGAAGTTACGTGTGAAATTTTGAGAGAGAAGACAGACACGGAGACACAAAGACCGACACACAAGCAGAGAGACAATCACGAAAGCTCCAAACCTCTCATTGACATGCTAATTTCTCTACCACCCCTCTCTCTCGAAGGCCTCGACACAGAGGCGTTGTTTCTCTGTGTGCCTATGTGTGTCTGTGTTATCTCTCTCCCTGCTTGTCGATGTGTCTCCGTGTCTATGTTTTGTCTCTCTTAAATTTTGCAATCTTTGGAAGAACGTAATCAACCAGATAGGGTGTTGACTGTTATGTTAGCCGACTGTGTTGTATTGCATTATATTTCTATGTTTACTAGGTTTGTTCTCGCTTTCATTTATACCTGATGATGATTGCTTGTGTTGCAATCGAAACGTCGTATGCTATTATTTAATTGATTTTTTTCTTTCTACTTGACTTTACCGAAAGAACCAGAGTAATTCCTGCAGTCACGAAAGCTCCAAATCAAGTGATATACAAGTTTGCCAAGCAAAATAGAATTGTTGGACAACTGTAAAACACATTAGTTGTTGACATTTACATCAGAGTGAAATGTAATAGTTCAATAACATGAACTGAAGTGATCTAGCCTACAAGGACAGGTGCTAACAGAAAATGGTCGCAAAAAATTAATTGTATTGCTGTAAATTCCAATCAAAATCCAAAATGTTTCACGCACATCGTCATACATTAAGCCCACTGCTGTTTTGAAAGCCAAAACAGTCCCTGGGCCATCTCTCACAGTCTTTCGACGTTAACAATCTTGCTCCTTCACACGATGCCCCCAATTTAAATGCACAATCTCAGCGGGTGGACGGACTCTCTCGTCCGCGTTCGCTCATTCACCACGCACGGACGGCGAGGGACCGTTGCTCAAAACGTGTGACCTCTTGCGACAGTATTCGCATGGAACTTCTCCCTCTGCCATACACCACCAGCACGTCTCGAGTGATTTGTTTGATCCGCGGGGATGGCGCCATTCCTTTGAGGGTCGCAGTCCACTTTAGAAACGTCAATCGCCAACTTCCAACTGCAGCGCGCGATCTGCTGGGTGAGTTTGCCCATCAAGACGGGGCGATGTGTTCAGCCGGCTCCCTCGAACGAAGCTCTCATTCGCCAGGAGAGCGGTCGCAAAGGTGACATTTCTGACGGAAGTCGAACCATCGGATCCCTCCTTTGGCACGGCATTGAGACCACACGTGCTCTACAGGTTGGGCGACTCGTGTTAACGGCGCGTGGAGCCGAGCTTGCTGGGTCGCGCATGAATCTTAATCTTCAACATCCGATTCTGGAATGTGGCGCATATAATTATTTGGATGAGTGGAAACAAAAATATTCTCATTTACAATTAGATTCGAATATCATGAGCTCATACACGTACAAGCCCTCTATGTATAGCCACTGGTGGGGATCGTTGGGCTTAATATTTGCCCTACTTCACCACGCTGGTCAGGGCAGATCGGGGAACACGAACATTGGAGCATGGCGCGGTGCAATACAATTGGTTTTGCTGCACTGCCCCCTGCTGTCCAGAACGCGGTAACGTGCCGACAACGTGAGCAGGGATGCGGCAGCGGCAGCAGCATCGATGATCAATTTGTGATGAAGCCTTTGGCGCGGTCACCGCCAAGCGTCAACGATCGCGCGATGCAAAACTGCACCCAGCCACCAACACACGAGGCCCATCCTGCCGCGTCACACTCGGTAGTGACCCTCTCCCACTCGGTAGTGACTCTCTCTCACTCGGTAGTGACTCTCTCTCACTCGGTAGTGACTCTCTCTCACTCGGTAGTGACCCTCTCCCTCTCGGTAGTGACTCTCTCCCACTCGGTAGTGACTCTCTCCCACTCGGTAGTGACTCTCTCCCACTCGGTAGTGACTCTCTACCACTCGGTAGTGACTCTCTCCCACTCGGTAGTGACTCTCTCCCTCTCGGTAGTGACTCTCTCCCACTCGGTAGTGACTCTCCCTCTCGGTAGTGACCCTCTCCCACTCGGTAGTGACTCTCTCCCTCTCGGTAGTGACTCTCTCCCACTCGGTAGTGACTCTCTCCTACTCGGTAGTGACTCTCTACCACTCGGTAGTGACTCTCTCCTACTCGGTAGTGACTCTCCCTCTCGGTAGTGACTCTCTCCCTCTCGGTAGTGACTCTCTCCCACTCGGTAGTGACTCTCTCCCACTCGGTAGTGACTCTCTCCTACTCGGTAGTGACTCTCTCCCACTCGGTAGTGACTCTCTCCCACTCGGTAGTGACTCTCTCACACTCGGTAGTGACTCTCTCACACTCGGTAGTGACTCTCTCCTACTCGGTAGTGACTCTCTCCCACTCGGTAGTGACTCTCTCCCACTCGGTAGTGACTCTCTACCACTCGGTAGTGACTCTCTCACACTCGGTAGTGACTCTCTACCACTCGGTAGTGACTCTCTCCTACTCGGTAGTGACTCTCCCTCTCGGTAGTGACTCTCTCCCTCTCGGTAGTGACTCTCTCCCACTCGGTAGTGACTCTCTCCCACTCGGTAGTGACTCTCTCCCACTCGGTAGTGACTCTCTCCCACTCGGTAGTGACTCTCTCACACTCGGTAGTGACTCTCTCACACTCGGTAGTGACTCTCTCCCACTCGGTAGTGACTCTCTCCCACTCGGTAGTGACTCTCTACCACTCGGTAGTGACTCTCTCCCACTCGGTAGTGACTCTCTACCACTCGGTAGTGACTCTCTCCCACTCGGTAGTGACTCTCTCCCACTCGGTAGTGACTCTCTCCCACTCCGTAGTGACTCTCCCCCACTCGGTAGTGACTCTCTCTCACTCGGTAGTGACTCTCTCTCACTCGGTAGTGACTCTCTCCCACTCGGTAGTGACTCTCTACCACTCGGTAGTGACTCTCTACCACTCGGTAGTGACTCTCTCACACTCGCTAGTGACTCTCTCTACCACTCGGTAGTGACTCTCTCCCACTCCGTAGTGACTCTCTCCCACTCGGTAGTGACTCTCTCCGTCTCGGTAGTGACTCTCTACCACTCGGTAGTGACTCTCTCCCACTCGTTAGTGACTCTCTCCCACTCGGTAGTGACTCTGACTCTCTCCCTCTCGGTAGTGACTCTCTCCCACTCGGTAGTGACTCTCTCCCTCTCGGTAGTGACTCTCTCCCTCTCGGTAGTGACTCTCTACCACTCGGTAGTGACTCTCTCCCACTCGGTAGTTACTCTCTCCCACTCGGTAGTGACTCTCTCCCACTCGGTAGTTACTCTCTCCCACTCGGTAGTTACTCTCTACCACTCGGTAGTGACTCTCTACCACTCGGTAGTGACTCTCTACCACTCGGTAGCGACTCTCTCCTGCTCGGTAGTGACTCTCTCTCACTCTCTCCCTCTCGCTAGTGACTCTCACTCGGTAGTGACTCTCTCCCTCTCGGTAGTGACTCTCTCACACTCGGTAGTGACTCTCTCCCACTCGGTAGTGACTCTCCCTCTCGGTAGTGACTCTCTCCCACTCGGTAGTGACTCTCTACCACTCGGTAGTGACTCTCTCACACTCGGTAGTGACTCTCTCCTACTCGGTAGTGACTCTCCCCCTCTCGGTAGTGACTCTCTCACACTCGGTAGTGACTCTCTCCCACTCGGTAGTGACTCTCCCTCTCGGTAGTGACTCTCTCCCA